TAGATGGCGCCGAAATCTCCCCTCCACCATCCAGTAACAGTGTTGATACTGTAACACTCCACACAAGGTGCTTGGCTTTGCCCAAACTTACCTATTTCCTAAGGTGTGCTCCCTCCTTCCATCTCCTTGTAAGATGACCAATTTGACCAAGCAACGCTCCCTGTTAGACACGGGAGTATAGGTATTCGTTGTGCGACACAGTTAGCATTGCCGGCATTCTTATCCTCGACCAGTGCTACAGGTGAATTACTGAATGAAATACTTCCAGAATACCTAAGAGACTCCATTGGGATTCATGATCCCAAATTCGTGGACGGAGCGGGTCAGTGGGACAATCTTGCTAACTCTCACCCTCGAGCAACTTTTCCAAACGACTGCAAACAGGCCAAATGGGATAGCCCATAGTGGAGAACATTGCCACAGCATTGTGGGAGGCAGCTTCTGGCAAGGACAGAGCGCATCTTCTAGCTGTGCAAGCTACGCATGCCACGGACTTCCTGTTGGCTGTCTCTAAGTCTGCCTTGGACTTCCGCCTGGACCATTGGGTCCTAAGTATTGGTGTTGCCCTGCGCCTTGCCACCCCTATCTCCACCGTACACTGGTGTATCTGTCGCTATGCGCGGGCAGACCAATGCAGTGGCTATGTTCTCATCTTTCGTAAGTCACAGAGAAAGATTGCCAGACATGAAGCAGTCAATTTAATCATCAAGAGAAGTTTGGCTACAGCTGGGTGCCCAGTATAAAGGGAGACCAGACAACAGTCACAAACGCCCAGATGGAATCACCCTACAGCCATGGAGGGAAGGTAAACAGGTCGTATGGGACTACACGTGTGCATCTACATTGGCTAATACCCTTCTACCTCACAGTACAGCTGAGGGAGGCTGGGCAGTCGCCTTCAGAGAGACCCAGAAAACCAACAAGTACAAGGACCTAGAACGTTGTTACAGGTTCGTGCCGAAAGGCTCTGAGACCCTTGGCGCCTGGAGGTACATATGCACTTAAGCTCCTGAAGGAGGAGGGAAAGGCACTCATTGGGAAAACTAAAGAGTCAAGAGCGGCCAGTTTCCTGTTCCAGCACCTCAGTGTCACGATCCAGAAAGGAAATGCGTGCTGTATCTTGAGCACGTACATCACCTCTGAAGAGCTGAATGAAGTCTTCGATCAGTGATTGTTATATGTGTGTGTTCTGTAAACTGTAGTAATGTCATAAAATAAAATAAAATAAATAAAAAAAGAAGAAGGGTGGTAGGAGAAGAAAGTATTAAACTGTTCAGTGGGAACCCACAAGGTCATCTCTAAATACTCTATATTTTCTTCTTCGAGGTTATTGTTCCTGACAATTGCAAGTGGTATCACTAATTATATATATATATATATATATATATATATATATATATATATATATATATATATATATATATATATATATATATATATACATATAATGTGTATATTTTGGTAGCAGTCTTTCCTGTAGACATATATTATTAAATATGACCGAAAAAGTAAGATTAATAATTCGAACACGAATTTTCTCAATCTTTCGTACATTTCTTTTCACTGTTCGTGGTAATTCAAAAATCAATTCTCCGAAATTCATTTTTATTTCTAGTCTGACGCGAAACTTGAGCGCGTTTCGTAAAACTTATTACATTTTCAAAGACTTTAGTTTAAACATACACAACTGATTCTCCCGAAACCCACCCCCCCTCCAAATGGACAGCAGCGGCGCCATCAAGTGAGGATTCTCCCGAAACCCACCCCCCCTCCAAATGGACAGCAGCTCCATCAAGTAAGGATTCTCCTGAACCCTCCCCCTCCAAATGGACAGCGGCGCCATCAAGTAAGGATTCTCCTGAACCCCCCCCCCCCTTCCAAATGGACAGCGGCGCCATCAAGTAAGGATTCTCCTGAAACCCACCCCCCCCTCCAAATTGACAGCGGCTCCATCAAGTAAGGATTCTCCTGAACCCCCCCCCCCTCCAAATGGACAGCGGCGCCATCAAGTAAGGATTCTCCCGAAACCCCCCCCCCCTCCAAATGGACAGTGGCGCCATCAAGTGAGGACGGGATATACCGGCCACAGGTGCTGGATGACTCTTTTTATCCAGCCTCTGTTAATGATGTGATTGTGACTATCGCCATTGGGCATTGTGTAGTGGATTATGAAGATATCCCCAACTTTATTGCATGCATAAGGAGCTTAGCGGAGATTGAAAAGCAGCAGTATGAGGCTACAAATCCAAAAAAAAGAAACTGCAATAATTTAGTTCAAAGAATGATGAAAATACGAGCAGTAGAAATGTTATATGATAACTTCCGTTTGGAGTCACAGATCATAACGCCTGTTCACCTCGGTTTGGGAAGAATAGAAGTATGCTACAGTAAAATTGAAAGTGTTATAGAATGGGTTAAGGTAATGGCAGATATTGCCAAAAAATATGCAGGAGTGGATTTAAGCTTACCTGAACATTTGAGATTACTCAATCAGAAAGTTTATTTACAGAATGAGTTTACAGCTCTCTACAACCCTGATTATAAAGGATGTTGCACTGAGGTAAAACAAGATGAAGATGGAGAAAATGAACATTGGACGATGACTTCTATATGGAAGCTTTATATTAACTAGCTACAACAGTGCAACAAAGCCTTCAGAAGATTGGTCCAAGAAATATATTATTATTTTTTTTAATTAATTATTCTGTTCTGAATCTTGTTGTAATCATATGATTTTTTACTAATAATTAACAATTTGTTTTTTAATAAAAAATTACAATAATGGTCATAATCAGTGAAAATGTTTTCTAATGTGGTAGGAATGACATCTTTTGGAATTAATCATATCTTACCACAAACGTTGATACATAAACAATGTAAATAAACTATTAAAATAACCGACCTTCAGCACAAAATGATAAGGCTTATCTTTTTTTTTCCTCTGATTGAAATATGAAATATATATAAACATTAATTTGCACAATATGTCTGTAAAAATTTAACCTATCATACATTTGATTTTACAGGTGGTAGATTGGATTGAACATTATGACTGGCACCAACATATGGAGAAAAGTAATTTCTGTTTTTAACAAGTTTATTGAAAATGAAAATCATCAGTTTAGGCCACTAGGCAATGATATTATAACCCAAATAACAGACACTAGCAAAATATGGGAAAGTCCGGTTGCAAAGATTATGTGGCGAAATCTGACTTATGAACAAAAAAAATATATAGTGAGACCAGACACAAAACCAGAATATGAGATGGGTTCAACCATTCAAAAATTTATTATGGATCAAAATGTTCGACTACTCATATCATCACCCTCTAATGGTTGGACTCAACTTGAACAAGAACTACGTCAATTGGAATGGAGAGGTGAAGCCTTTGTGAATGGTGAAGAGATTACTAGTAGTGGAACTGACTGTTATAATCAAGTGCTGATAATGACATCTCCTAAAAGTTTTTTTAAGAATATTTCAACATACAAGGGTGATAAAGTTATTTTTTTATTTGATCATCAGTCTTACCTGACCCATACAAAATGTGATCGGTGTGAGAGAGAAATCTGCAATGGTAATTATCTGTCCAAAATTTTGACAAGAAAATGTTTTGCCTGTGATATTTGCCAGAAAAAGTTCTTTGCAATGTACTACTTAGTAATACATTTCAACACACAACATGCATATGAAATACCGTGCCATGTGTGTGGGACAGTTTTATTGAACAGAGGCTGTCGAAAAGTCCTTTTTGATAGTTTTTTTTTTCAGAATTTGATGAAATTCCCACTCGTGGTGGAAAGTTACCAAAGTTATTTATAAGAAAATTCAAAGATAAAATATCATCTTCGAACGCTGCAGAGTGGTGGAATTTTATCTTGAATGCAGATGAAAAGAAGATATACACAATAATAACACCAGATGAAGAAAAAAGGCAGTTGGAGAAACAGATGGATTTCTCACTAGATGTAAAAAGGAATAAAATATCCAAGAAGTTTTCTTCAATTTACCCATTGGAAGAAGAAATTTTGTATATAATTAACTGTCTTCATATTTTTCCTGATTTGTGTAGAATGCTACGAGGAGTATTTGATCATTATTTGCCACTAGAAATAGAAATAGATGCAATTATTAAATTCACAGGTGAAGGTTCTCTTGTAAGTGTTTTTGCTGGCACTGCATTCATTGAAAATCTATTGAGATTAAGAAATGTGGACGTGAAAGCTACTGATAATTACTCAAACATAAATTCTATATCATGGATGGAGGTTGATAATATAAATATCTCTGAGGCAATTAATAATAAATATCATCCTGATGTTCTTTTAATGACATGGCCACTAGAAAAAAAGAGTTCAATCCCAAGTGCAATGGCTGAGGGTAGTTTTTATATGAGCACTTCAGGATATTATGAAATGATAGATGAACTCAACCTAAGTGAAAGAGAACCTTTAAAGTATAAATATTATAGTGATGCCTTATATGCTATTAAAGAGCTTAAGGGAAACAAGTTCATTTATGTTGGAGATAAAATGTTTTGTTGTGAGTGTAATGCTCTTTTTTCCCATTATCTAGAGGAAAATTTTGAAAAGGTGAATAGTGGAATTACATTATCCAAAATTCACTTCTATATCAGGAAACCAACAAATTGATCAAACTGTTCTAATAGACTATATTATTAAGGATTAGTTTTTAACTAGAAGTTTAATGCTATTATTATACTTTGGATGTGTAAAAATGTGTAATAAATGCTGTTTTTATATCATAGCCTACCTAAATTTGAGAAGTATGACACACGTTTTTTTTTTTTTTTATTAGAAATTATAAGTGTTTAAAATGATTTTAAATATTAAAATTGAATTCACATCAGGTACTGACTCTGTATGTTTTTAATTAGAAATTATCGAATAATTATTCAAATTATTTTGTATATGAGATAACAAATAAGGGGCCATGTCACCAGGATATAAAAAAATGTCGTAGGGTATTCAAAATTTATTATCCTGATACATGTGAAAGGTACTGCAACTGGGCCAAGTTTCAGCATCTCAGCCTAAATAGAGAGGGAGAGAAAAAAAAAAAGAATTTTTAGACAATTTTCCAACAATGTTCAATTGGTTTCACAGCCCACAATTGTAAACCGAAATCATTTCTATGACACTCAGCTATGACCTTACTATATAATAAAGATTTGCATGTCACATTATTATCCTAGATGTATTTAGTGCAATGATACCGATTTATTAAATTTTCCCCCAAAAGTATGCAACAAACTGAAGCTTATCATTATTTATAAAATCAATAAATCTACTTAGATAAATATCATGACATGCATTTTTAGAGGCATAAACTCTACATATAATGTGCAAGTTTCATGTAAATTGAATAATAAATAAAGGCTGTGAAATCAGATATACAGTAGTTGTAAAAAACTTACCTGCAGAAAACAAAGTTCAAAGTTGAGCCACCTGTGGGTGAGGTTGATGTTGACCAATATCATTCAAAATTTGCACCCTTGTAGAAACGCATGGGTTCAATATGGTGTGCAAGTTCCATGAAGATCGCCTGAATAATAAAAAAAAAAAAATTATTATTATAAAAAAAAAAAAAAATAAAAAAAAAAAAAAAAACATTAATATTTGTCACCAGTTGTATATGTACAAATATTTATGAAGTAATATCACAATATAACACTAAAACATACTAACCTAATATAATTGGTCAGAAATATGAGTCCTGCAGGTGGCACTGTATTGGCACTAGTAGGCCCCTGCCCCATAACCTGGGTCAGCTCCCTCAGGGGCCTGTCGTGGCTTGGTGGTGCGTTTCGTTGGTATCTGCATCTCCTTGTTCTTCCTTTCAAAGTACCAGTCTCGTAGGTCACTTTGTGGTAGACCAATGAGGCTGGTCAGAGATCCGGCCACATATCCGACGTTGTAGTTGACAGCTGTGATTGCCATTGCGAAGTCGACCATTACACGACCGACAAACTTGTCTTTGGGGGCGAGTTTCCAAAGTCGGTGGTGTAGAGACTCGTTTGGATTCTGTGTCTTCCCCTTCAGACACCTCGTCATGTTGTCTTCTGATATCAGATTGTAGTATATCTTGAGGACTTCTGTCATGTGGACACTAGGAAGCTGGAAATGTACCTTCATCGTCTTGTGTGATCTTGGGGTCGTTTCATTTGCAATGTCTTGCTGGAAAAAACACCAAGACTCTTTCCCCTTAGGGCAATGCATGTGCATTGGCTTCTCATCAGTCGACGTAGTATGCAACAGTCCGGACAAACAGGCATCCCTCATTCGCTTCCAGTCTGTGTTGACATTATCTCTGATAGCTTTTGTAAAGTAACTTGCCAACCTTCCAATGGTAGCATCTGTCAATTTACCTTTTCCTTTCACCAGTGACACTCGTCTTGTCTTTTTGACATTCCCTTTTGTCTCTCTCACTTCCACCGCTGTTTTCTGAAAGTTCCGGAGCTGTGTAGCCAGTCTCTTGCTGAAGTGGTTTATACACTCAGCCGTTTCCACGGTTACATTTCCATATGGACCAGCACCATTATTCATTGCACAAATTCTATTGAAGGCTGATGAATCCCCATCACAAACCAAGGTTGTATACCTGAATTTCAGGTCTTTAGATCGACCCCACAACAATACTGCAGCATCAGCCTCCATATTTTTGGAAGTGCCGTCATAGTTCTTATCACAATCAGGTACATGTTCACGCATCTTATTGTCAAACTCCGTCTGTGTTATTTTTCCTTGTTGTTTTCTATTCAGAAATATCTTGCACTTTTTGCAGTTTTTGCAGAAACAATTGTAGTCCACAACGAACCCTGTAAATATCTCCACAACAAAGGCACTCCCAATCTGTGAATGATGGCCCCTTGTGTGCCACGATCCATCAAACGATACATCAATGTCCAGGATCCCATCAACGGAGTGCCTATCAAATTTTTCTCTGTAATGATTGAAGATGATATGATGAGTGTTTTCTTGCAACGTCGCCCATTTCACATTGGCAGCGTTCTTTATCATTTTCTGGACCCTATTATATGTCTTATAGGATACACATTTCATGTTTGGTATGTTACGCATACCACGGTAATATGTATATCCGTGTCCATTTAGCATGTTGGTGTACACTAAGGCTATCATATTTTCATTATTTCCAGACAATACTTCATCGTCTTCATAATGACAACGATTACAGATTCCTTTCACTGTTACATCATGTTGCAAAATCGTAATTGTGTGACAAACTGTACCCAGTTTACAGTATTGGCATATGCAATGTTTATCAAGGTATTGTTTCAGTTTTTTATCCGTGACCATTAGCGCAGACTCGCTAGTTTTTTTCCTATGTGTCACTTCACTGTCACTGTCGGTTTCCTTGTCACTGCCCTGGTCAGTGTCCTTGTCACTTCCAATTGTTTCTTCTCCAGATAAACCGATTCGTTTCTTGGCACTGCTCTGGATACGTTTACGCTTTCTGGAAATGTTTGGAGTTGCCAGATCAGCACGTGAGGTGCTGGGACGTGCAACAGCACCTGAGGTGCTGGGACGTGCAACAGCACCTGAGGTGCTGGGCCCTGCAACAGCACCTGAGGTGGTGGGCCCTGCAACAGCACCTGAGGTGGTGGGCCCTGCAACATCAAGAGCGAGAACGTCTGGAGTAGCAGGTCCAACATCTGGAGTAGCAGGTCCAACGTCTGGAGTAGCAGGTCCAACGTCTGGAGTAGCAGGTCCAACATCTGGAGTAGCAGGTCCAACGTCTGGAGTAGCAGGTCCAACGTCTGGAGTAGCAGGTCCAACATCTGGAGTAGCAGGTCCAACGTCTGGAGTAGCAGGTCCAACGTCTGGAGTAGCAGGTCCAACATCTGGAGTAGCAGGTCCAACGTCTGGAGTAGCAGGTCCAACGTCTGGAGTAGCAGGTCCAACGTCTGGAGTAGCAGGTCCAAGACGTGCGGTGGCAGAAGGTAGGATTGTGGGGGAGGGGGTGGTTGCGGGCTGCGACAGGCCCCTCACACTCGCGGCTGAGAGCCCACCACGATCTTCACTCGACGAACTGCGTGATTTACGCATTACAGCCAGCTGTAACCTTCTACGGGCAGCTCGCATGCATTTAGCTTTCATTGTTTCCTTCTTCTTCGTTCGGTAAGTCATATTGCAGTCCAAATAGCACAGAAATAGCGAGCGTTCTGGGAGATATTGTGAGCGCGCGTCAATGATAGCTCCGCCTCCTCCTGGACACAGAGAGTTACTGACTGCCCAGCCACACGCCGTCCTCTGCCTCAGACAACGGTTGCCAATGAGTGGGTTTATATTCGTGTTATGCATAATATGTTATTTACAACGCTATTACGAAACATTAGACCTTTACAACGTAAAACACATTACTCCGCGGCGCACCCAGGCCGCGAGGCCGGATTTGGCAAAGTTGCAGCGGGAAATTTGACTCTAATTACGTTATTTATCAAGATAATATAGAGCGGTTTCCACCACAGTGTTGCCAGAACGTTGTAGTATTTTTCGTAAATATTCCATTTTTCATCGGATTTTCGGGTTATGCATTCATAAATTTTTCTATTTACCATATTATCTCCAAGAATATATAAAACTGTACCAAAAACAGATGTCATAAGTGTAATTGTAATTAGTTTTAATATAACTTTTGTTTGGCGATTATTTATAATGTTATTTGAATTTTGATTATTAGGTTGGTTAAGGTTGGTGGAGTTGGAGGTAGGACTTGAGATCGGGTTGGTGTTGCTGGGATTAGGGTTGTTGCTGGAATTATTAGGGTTGTCACTTGAATTATTAGGGTTGTTGCTAGAATTAGGGTTAGGGGGGTTGCTGGGGTTAGGGGTGTTGTTGGGGTTAGGGGTGTTGTTGGGGTTAGGGTCGTTGCTGGGGTTAGGGTCGTTGCTGGGGTTAGGGTCGTTGCTGGGGTTAGGGTTGTTGCTGGGGTTAGGGTTGTTGCTGGGGTTAGGGTTAGGGTTGTTGCTGGGGTTAGGGTTAGGGGTGTTGCTGGGGTTAGGGTCGTTGCTAGGGGTAATAGTTTCTATACTAACTATAGTCATTATATATTTTTATATATGTATAAATAAAAGTAAACAATTAATATTATTATTATGATAAATAACAAAAGTATAATAGTATTATGGTAATTAAATATATTTGTGGGATGTATAACGGTGTAATGTTTAAGAGAATGTTCTTGAAGTTCCAATGATATTAACCTCAAAATCGACCCAGTTTCACAAACATAAATAAATTTTTTATTAAAATTTGGGTCAATGGGATGTATTTTTGAATTAGGATATAAGTAGGTTTTAGCTAAATTATAATTATGTGGATTACATAGAGCTTTACATCCTTTATTAAAAACTGCTTTCTCAAAAGATGAAGTTTCCAATAAACTTTCAATATCCATTGAATTACTACAGTTCCAATATAACTGCTCATCTGGAATGGTAGCTAAAGGATGGGAAGCATCTTCTATAATATTTTTTTTTTCATTGTGTACTAAACTTTCATTACAAAATCTTCGTTTATATATGTCTCTTATGAGAAAAATTCGATCTCCAAAATTTACAAGACTATATCGAAAACATCCAGTATTAATTTTATTATGTAAACGCATAAATTCTATAAAACTCTCACTTGTTTCTAATTTGGAAATTTGTTTTAGAATGGAACAGTATGGATAAATTTTAAACCACTCTTTAAATCTTGTCCAAATTAGAATTGCCTGGATATTATTATATATATTATCATCATTAAATATTGTACATAGAGATTTTTCATCATATATTTCACAATCATTAAGACACGTAAGCAACATATTTACATCTTGTAAATAATTACAATAAATATAATATGGATATTTAGTCTGAATATGTATCCGGAACATTTCTCGTACTTTTGTTCCATATATAAATGTTAATTTTCTTAAAAAATAAAGGTCACCACAAAGAAGTGCTTCTATATTTGCTTTGAAATTTTGAATATTAGTTTTGTTAGAAAATGCTAAGAGATTTGGATCAATGATTTTTTGAATATTTTCATCTCCTTTAATAATAATATCATTAAAATCATCTAAAATCTTCTTTATAATAGCTGTATCATTTATATCTTGAATTTGTCCATATAATTTACCTATAGGAAGCAATAATAATTGATCCAAGGTATTAATAATTTTAGTTGCTTCCTGTTTATTCATTTTTTATTTTAAATTACATTACTTTAAGTTTTACAATATACAATTTTTTCAGTAATATATACCATATCTTTTTCAAGAACTGTTTTTGAATGGTTACGAAGAAATGGAATAAAATCAAAGAACTGAGCAGCATTTTCTTCGTTAACCAATTTTTCAAAATTCGAAGGTGTAGTAACATCACTGAAACCTAGTATTTGATGTTTTCTGTATGGAGACTGACTTATTAGTTGACGCATTTGTGAAACTGTCAGAAATACTTGACCAACAAATATACGATTGAGCTGTAAATCTTCAGACCTAATCCACATTGTATAATCCAAATTTGGAGTTAACATGTTACCTAGGGCAAAACTTCCCGATATATGGCTAATATCACCTAATTTTTTTTGAAATTCTTGATAATATCTGTTAACACCTGTATCACCCATGAGGTAAGGTCCTAATACATACTGAGGCGAGCAAGATAAAAAATGTTTATCAAATTTTTCAATAATAGCTACATTACTTCCTAATTTAGATTTGTATTCTTTTACATATGTGATAAACTTATATAACTTTGAATCATAAACTAACGGAAATTCTTCCAAATCCCTATTTTTTTTTTTTCCAATATTTTGGGGATTGTATAAATGTAACAAATGGGTATTGACATTTTGATGTTTCTGTGCCTCATGTAATTTTAAAATATCACACTTTGATAAACTGATCATTGTCTTATTTGATCTTATTATTTTTATATTTGAAATATGAAGTGTTACCACCTCCTCCAGCCTTTGGGTCATCTAATCTCACCACCTCACAGTCGATATTAGGGAATCCAAAGAAGTTTTGAAAAATTACAAAACATGGTGAAAATATAACTAAAATATTTGAAAAACTTTTCCAAGATAATGAATTGAAAATAAAGGAGGGTATTGAACATTTATCTACAACTATGATTCAAACTTCGTTGGAACACGTCCGTATTATTAGTCCACCTAGTACAGTGCTATGGGATATAGAGAGTGTGAGATGTGCTATGAATAAAAACAATTGTCCTACACATGAGAGAGAGAATGGAGAAAAAAAAGAGGGATTACAGTTAACTCCACGAGAAGCTCAAATGGTATTATCAGATATATCATCATGTAATGCTAATGATAATGATAATATATTTTATCAATTATTTTTAAAAAGTCTTACCTCTCCAGATTTACCATCGCGAAGAATAGTCACTAGACTAAATATTTAATTATACAAAAAATGTGTATGTATTATGATATTTTATTTTTCGTTATTCTTACTATTCTTAGTATTATTATTTGGTTTTATTTATTTATATATTTTTCACCAAATCAGATTGAAGTAAGTAAAAATCTGATACTAAACAATAAAAGAAAGACAATAGAAAAAGAATCTTTACCACTCATACCATACTCTATGGCTGTATATAAACATAATAATAAAAATACTAAAAATGAACGTGAAAATGTTTTTGTTCATATTATGCCTCAAAATTATCATTTTTTCGTAGAACAAGGCCAACTCATCTACCATCCTACTTCCCCCCCAAAGAATAATATATGTTGTACATTATCAGAATTTCCTGAAATAGCATATGTTTTTTCTGTGGAAGAGTCAACTACTTCTTTAACTATTCCCCAAAAAACAAAATGTGTCGCCGACCTCTTGAGTATTTAAAAAGTAACATATATACACTAATGACATATCGTTTACAGACACACCATTTAAAAAATCCACTAAAACTTCTCCATCATCTCGCACTCACAGGACGTATAAAATTAATAAAAAATGATAACTAAAGGAGAAAATATTTATTTACTTTATTTACAAGATCCCAAAAGAAATCGACATTATCTTAAACGAAAACGAAAACGAAAAAGAAAAAAACGTAATAAGGATAAAAAAA